CTTTCATTTTTAACAGTATTTAACAGACATCACAAAAGACATCAACCTGCTCTCAGATGACAGGCAGGCCCAGGTTGGAGTTTAGTTGGGATTGACCAAGCCAAAGGGAAGTGTTCCTTCTCTTTCTCTTTTGACCCCTGTATCTCCAAGACAAGAAAGCTGGGCTGGTTCCCTGGTTCCCTTTAAACCATCCTTAAGAATCTCCCTTTCTTTCTGTGGCTCTCTGTGGCACTCACTGTATGATTTCTTTAAACCTCAGTTTCCCCATCTGTCAGATGGAAGAGTAATTCTTTCATGACCTACCTCACAGGACTAAAGTGAGGAAAATGCTTTGTAAATCTTAGAATGCTAGAAAAATGAGAATTCTGGTTTTTTTTCCTTCCCCCCGCCTCCAGACAGACACCGGGGACTGGCCAGAGATAGCTCAGCCCACTACTACAGCCACTGAGTTCTCCCAGTGGAATAGACTTTGCTTTATTCCCATGGACCGGCCAGTCCTTTTCGCCACCCCACCCAGCTTCAGGGGAAGCTGAGGAGAGAAAGGAAGAGTCTCTCTACTGGGGCAGACTGATCCCCACCAGAGCCAGTTATCCCACCTTCTGCCCCTTGCTTTCAAGCCCAGCCCTCCACCCCTACCCACCCACAGGATAGCAGAGCAGGGTCCCAGCTTCTGGCTCCTAGACCTAGGGAATCCCAGTAGAAGGAGGTCCCCTGTAAGACACTCCTTCTTCTGAGGGATACTCAGGTCCCCCTTCCCCTGGGGCAGGGGTCGGGAGAGGGTAGGCTGTCTGCTGTCTGCTGTCTGGAAATCGAAGCCCAGGGCAGCAGAGCCCACACTGAAACCAGATCCTCCCGTGTCCTTGGCCACGGTACTATCTCGCTGGAATGGGGGAGGGGTCAGAAGCCCACAGACAACTTGTAAAGGGAACGGAGGGCTCAGAGTAGACAGAATTGTGTGTGTTTTTTTTTTTCTTCCTTTTTCTAAAATGCCTAGCATAGTACCTGGCACACACAGGAAGAAATTGATAAATGCTTGTTGATTTAAATCTTAACTTTCATTGCCATAAATTTGGGAGGGGCTTTAGAAATCATCTAGTTCAGCCTAATTTTCCAGATGAGGAAACTGAGATCCAAATTTATGACCCCTCCTAGTGTGGGCCTTGGGCCACACAGCTCCTAAATAACAGAGCTGGGATTGGAACTCAGGTTTTCTGACTCCAAATTCAGTACCAGGTTAGCATCTCATGTTAGGTGAGCCTGGCTTACACATAGATCACGTGTGCACACATGCATGTTCAAACCCAGGCAAACATACAACCATATACAAAGACATACATATAGATGCACACATACTTATGTAAAGACAACAGAGACATAGCTATCTACCTACCTCTTGCCCCCACATATGGTATATACATAGCAGATCATTCACACAATTCCTGTGCTGAATCTGGCTTTCACTGGCTCAGCAGGTAGCCCTCCAGGCTAGATACCCTGCCTGCCTCCTTCCTAAGCTTTCCCCTCCTGAGGTTCTCCATGCCCCAGGGTTCTGACCAGTAGCTCACTACTCTTCTTTGGGAACTGAGACAGTTTGCCTCCTGGTCCTCTATCCCCATACTCACAGAAGGGCTCAAGGGCATGAGGGAATGTGCCTGCTCTGCCCAGGGAAGCATGGGACATACAGGGTGTTCTCAGTCACATAAGTGGAGGAAGGTATTCACATAAGAAAGCTCATCATGGCACCCAAGGGTGTGGGGTCAGGAGTTCCCATCAGACACTGACATGTTCACAGTAGTCACCTCGATAAGGTTGGGGTGGGAGAGGAAGGGAGGAGGGACAAGAAGCAGAAAGACAAGGAGAGATGGCCACCGACTCACTAGAATGAGAGTGGGAGGGAGAGGCCCACGCATGTACGTGCACACGTATGTGGTGGCGTGTCTGTGTGCATGGGTACTGATTGTCGCTGGCGAGGGATCGAATTAGTTCCTTTTCCCTCTTTCCAGATGATTTTTCATCTCTGTAATTAATGGGCAAGTCAGCGCTGAACGGCATGGCAGGCAAATTGCTAGTTAGGGAAATCACGGATAATTTTCTCGATATGATAATGAAGGTTGTATTCCTTCTTTTATTCTCCCTGTTTTCATCCTACTTTTAAGTAATAAATTCGGCATTAGAGGGAGGAGTGAGTGGGAGAAGGGGAGAAGTCACCCACCCTTTAAGACCTGGGTCTAACCTGAGTTAGTACTGGGGACCCCCCCACCCCAAAAGGACAACTGGACCCAAAGTATGAATAAGATGAAGGGGATGAGGGAGAGGGACCTTGGGGCTAGCTGACAGTGAAAGGGGAAAGCACACCACCCCAATGTCAAGAAAGGTGTCTGTGCTCCTTTACTCAGATTTTCAGCAGGAAAAGCAAAGGCTGGAGGGAGAAGAGCAAAGGAACTGGATTTGGGTAGGGCCAGGATGGGATAAGGAGGGAGTCAAGAAGCTACTGAGGGCAGAAGTCTCTTCCCACCACCCCACAGGAAAGGGGAGATGATCTGAGGAAAAGAGGAAGCCAGGGGCAGAGTGAAATAGAGCAGCAGAGGGTGCTGGGAATTTTCTGGGAGAAGGATTTTAGGCCACTATCCAGAAGCTGAGGCTAGAGGTGGATGAAGAGTGGGTTTGTGATGGGATGGGGGGTTGGAGTCTAAGGCAGGAGGTATCAAGGCCACCCCCAAAGACCCTGGGGACCATACCCTCAGTGTTTAGAAAGCACACTTTCTAAACCTTCTCTTCCTGCCTACCTGTCCTGAGACCTTCCCCCTAGGGCCCCAGCCTCTCATTGAGTGACAGGGGGCTTATTATATGGGAAATAGGATAGGGAGGGAGAGAAGGAAAGAAGCAGCCATATTGGCATCCATTTTATCCCCCACGCCCCAGTGTCCACACCCCACATGTTTGGAGATGGAAAGACAGAGCCACCAGAAACGGGGTGGGGGAGAAATTAAGGAAAGGATGGGGTCATAGGATTTAAAACAGCCTTGAATCCAAACCTTTCAATTGACAGAAGAGAAAACTGAGGCCCCAGAAAGGGACTTCCTTAAGGGCTTGGGGAATAGACTGGGGTCAGGATGCAGGAAGGAAGAAGGAGCCAGAGAGGAACTATTAAAGCCAGAATCCTGCTACCCATTTCACTCCACACTGATGTGATTTCCTCATGGGGCAGATCCTCTGGTCAGGGGAGAGGAAACAAGACACCAGGGGTCTCTCTCCAAACATGGGGAAAAGGGAGTCTGCCCTGTTTGGCAGAAGATTGTGAGGGAGGTGATTGGCAGGGGCATTTACTTGGTATTGGGTGTGTGTGGGGGGGGTGGGATTTGAAGTAGAGGTGATATATGCCTGTATTCTATCTGTGTGTGTCCTTTCTTCCTACTAAACTGTAACCTCTTCGAGGGCAAAGACTTTTTCATCTTTGTAACCCTCATGGAATACAAGGCCTTGTACTCTTGTATATGCTTAATAATGGTTTGTTAAATTTTCCATATGTGTATAAAGATTGAGGTGTGTGGAAGCAGTGAGGGCTGTATACCTGTGCTGGGTATGGAAGGGTTGGGTTTGTGTTCCTATGGGGGGAATAAGGAGTTGAGGTGTGCACAAGGTTAGGGAATAAATATTTTTTGGTGGGATTGTGTATTATTGCTTCAGGACACAGACAAATGTCTCCCCCCTCCCCCTAGTCACCTTTTCAGTGGTTATGATTAGCTCCCCCTTAGCTCTCAAGACCCTCCTTTGGTTGGGGGGTCTTGGAGAGGAATAAAACCAATTCCCTCTCCCCCACACACAATCCAGGGTACGGAGGGGATATGGGTGGTAGGGAAACGACATTCCTTTCGTCTTTCTCAAGCCTGACATTTCAGGGACTAGAGCATGGGGGAAGCATGATTGACACCCTCCCCCCTCCCCAGTTGCATATCAAGGGGGAAGCGGATGCAAGGGTCTAACAGCAATCGAAGGCAGAAACAGGCGACCAAGCTACCTCTTCCACTCCTCCTAGCCTGACAGCAATCCCACCCCAGGATCCCGGGCCTGTGCTCAGTTCTAAAGCACGTTCCTTGGGGGACCGCAGCGGCAGGCGGGAGGGGAGCCTCTAGCAGGAGACGCCGCCACGACACCCAGACAACCCCTCCCCCAATCACTCCCCCCCTCCTCTCAGAGAAAAATAACCAAAAAGGAACATATATATGTATATATGTACATATATATATACACACACACACACACAGGTATGTATATGTATATCCAAAAACATCCTGCGGTATGAGCCCTTGACACAGCCCCTCCAGGGGTTGGAAGACACAGAACGGAGAGACACTCAACCAGACACCCACACAGCCAGGGCGAACACACCATCACAGCCACACAGACACCAGCCGGTACATACAGACACACAAAGACACAGGATGGCAGAACCAGAGACACATGGACACACACACACACACACACACACACACATACACACACACAATCACTCGGGCACACAAAGATACATTCAGGCATAGACACCCAGACCCAGCCTCTCTTTCCTGGCTGGTGTCACACCGCGGATCGACGCTGCTTCTCTTTTTCCGCACCTCCCCCCCACCCCACTCTCTCCCCCACCCCAGCCCGCGCCAGCACCTCGGCTAGCTCACAGCTGGTGCCCAGCTCCCCGGCGATAGCAACCCCATAGCCTCCCCAAAAACAGCTCTGCGGCTACAACGCCTTCGATCCTCCCCACCCCCGAACAGATGCAAAAACGATTTGAACCCCCATCCAGTCACCTCCTTTCCAGACAGACTCTATCCCATCCATCCCCCTCCCCCACGCCCTTCCTCGGCTCACTACCATCCCCTGCATAGGGGCAAGACCCGGACGTGGGCAGGGGGCAGACTAGGCTCTCCCGATCCGTGCCCTAGACACCTGGCCCAGGTGTGATGTCCCCTCCCCCAAGTCCCTCTACCCCCGGCGTGGACACTCACCTGTCCCGGGGCGGCTCGCTCTCCTCGCCAGTCCTCTCCTCTCTCCTGCGGCTTCTCGTCCCCGGGCCCCCCGCCCGGCACATCTCCCGGAGCCGAGGAAAGGGGGTGGTGGCGGAGAGAGGGCGGGCTCCGGGGCTCCCCTCCCCCAGCCCACCGCCACCACCACCAAAAATTTAGCGGGGGGAAAAATAGAATTTGACAATCCACTCCCCGGCTGGGAATGGGGAGGGGTCGCGGGCTCCGGGGCTGGAGGCGAAGATCTGGGCGAGTGGGTCTTTCTCCCCCCTGGTGTGGGAGGGAGTGGGGGGAGGGGGGTGGGCAGCGTCAGGGCTCCGGGGCCCGGGACTGGGGCGAGGCGGCAGCGACACAAGCGGGCAGCATCTCTCCCCCGCCTTTTCTCGGCTCCCCCGACGGCGGAGGTGGCGGCACGTGTGAGTCCAGCCGACTCCCCCCCGCCCCCCCTCCGACGGCGGCGGCGGCGGCGGCAGCGGCAGCCGCAGCGGCAGCGGCGGCGAAGGGGTTAACGGGGCAGCTCCAGCCCCCCGCCCGCTGCCCCCAGCCGGGCGAGGCCGCTCCGGGACTCCCGCTCAGCCATCCGCCGGGGCCTCCTCTGCGGCTGAGAAACTGCGGGGTGCCCGAGTCCCAGGACAGCTGCCGGGGATACTGCTGCTGCGGCTGCTACGGCTCGAGCTCCCTGCAGTGCCCACGGGGGGCTCCAAGAGAGCGGAGGACCTGGGGGGAGGCGGTTCGGAGCTAATGGAGGAGCTGGGGAAAGGGGGGGCGGCTACAGGAGGAGACCGTGGCTGGCGGCGCGTTGCATGGCGAAGGGGAGGGGCGGAGCTGGGGCGGAGGGGGGCGCTGGGGCCCTGGCCCCCTTTTGCACCTCGGGATGAACGGATGGAGCCGGCGCCCGGACACGGCAATGACAAGCCGCCTGCCTGCTCTCTCCGCTCTCCAGCGCACCCGCTACGGGAGGGGAGGAGAAGGAAGGGGGGCAGTAGGTAAAGACAAAACTCGGCCTGGAACAGCCGACAGGACCGGGGCCGTTGCAACCAGCACCAGTGCAGGGAGGGAAAAAACAAAAACACGGCTTGGATTTCTTCTTCTTCCCCCTCCCACTTCCCCTCTTCCATCAGGTCTTTTCCCCGCCCCAGAAAAAGTTAGGTAGAGATAATGTTACGTGCTTAGTGGGAGTGGGGGTGGGCAAGAAAAATACGGAACGGCTTTCTCGGGAAAGGGAGAAGGAATGAGACGTGCCAAGTTTAAAGAGGGATATGAAAAACGAGGATTGGATTGAATTGAGAATGGAGAAGGGATGCGACATGCCCAATTGCACCGGGGGTATGCAAATCGCGGACTGGATTCCACCCTGGGAGACGGAAGACTGCGTCATGCCCAATGCGGTGAGAACTAGAAAAACCCAGGTCTGGATTTTCCCAAGAACTGGGGCAGGGTGGGGGTAGGGAAGTAAAGAAGGATGTGAGGTGGCTGATGCAGCGTGGGCAGGTCTCCGTTGCCCAGGCCGCTACATGCAGAAGAGAGAGACAAAATGTGGGCAGGATCCAGGTGTGAACGGATCTAGGCAAGCTCCTTACACAGCATGTAAAAGCTGGGTCTTGGGTTTCTAGGGTGATGAAATAGGACTGCAGGGAGGAGGCCACTGCTCAGGGAGGCGAAACCAATAATGAAACGGACTGAAACAAACCCAGGACGGTCATCTGGTGTAGAAGACCAGGATGCACGCGCTAACTCAGCCAGGACTGTATATTTTAGTTGGGGTGAGGTGGGGGGTTGAGGCTAGGGTCTCAATAAATATTCTCTGTGCTCCTGGGAGGCAGAGAGGAGTTTTAGCTTCAGAGGCGAAAAGAAAAACTCGGCTCTGGATTTAGCAACAGGACCGGTATCCAGGCAAAATACATTGCTGAGAGCTGCTAGGCATAATTAGGACACGGCCTAGCCTCGGATTCCCAGGAATCTGGTGGGGGAGTGGGAAGAGAATGAGGAGGAGGAAGAAGAGAAGGTGGAGGAGGAGGAGAAGAAGGAGGGGATGGAGGAGGAAGAGGAGGAGGAGGACCTGGGTCCTGGGGCTGCAAAGCCAACAACCGCTACCCCCTGGGGTGCAGGGAGGCAGCGGGATCCACCCCGGAACTGTGGACTGGATCCCCGTTTGCAAAAACAATGGGAGCCGCAAAACCTGGCCTAGATGTCCTAAGATGGACATCTCGGAGGAACAGACCTGTCATGAGGGCGGGAGAAGGAGGGAAAGTGAGCTGTCACTAGGGGGAGGCCGTATGATGATAAGAGGTAAGGTCCGGTTAGGATCTCTGGAGACCGAACCGGGTCAGGTTTCGGGATAAAAAGAGAGAAGGGAGAAGGACCACGGAGGGGTGGGGAAGAGCAAAATCTGGTCCTGGATCCCAGGGGGAAGGGAGACCAGCTCGCCCGCAGATCTGGGTAACAGAAGCGGAAGGTAAAATCCAGGATGGATTTCATTACACCTGGACCAGGCAGTTCTGGCAACCAGTGGGAAATGAGACAGACGACCTAGGACAGGGACAAAGCTAGGTCGGGGTAATAGAGAAAGAATGTGAGGCTTGGGGGAGGGGAACAGTAGAAAGCCAGGTCTGGATCTCCAGGGAAGGGACTGAGATTCTGCCCAATCTTTTCCTTGAGGGCTTTAACTTGCAGTGGGAGACAGTGGGAATAGGGATACACATAATTTTGGGGGCGGCTAACACTGACTAAAAGAACATTGAGCATCCCTTAAAACCTGGATTGGAGGTGTGGGACTAGATGCCTGAGTAGAACTCTCCAGACAAAACTAAAGGTTTGAGCCAAATCCCGACTTGGAGTACGCTGCCCTGGGGCCCCAGTGCCACTTGGAACTGGATGAAGTGAAGAAGAGGAGGAGACAAGGAAGTCACGACACCTGGCTTTGATTCTCTGCCCTAACTTTGTACATTATCGCTATTCAATGCTCCAGTTTCGTATTTTTAACATAGGGTGTAGAATTTTGGAGGCAGGAGTAGGGGTGGGTGGGTGGGTGGAGGCGGGATTAGAGCAGTAGTTTGAACATCAGCATAGGGAGACACTTTCCTCCAAGTCACCCTCCTCCTAGTGCTTTCTCTGTTCGTCCTTCTCTCTGTTGATTATCTTCAATTTATCTTGTTTGTACATAGTTGTTTTCCTGTTTTCCCCCCATTAGACTGGGAGTTCCTGGAGAGCCAGGATGCCTGGGCGTCTTTCACTTAATGGGTACTTAATAAATGCTTATTGAATGACTGACTAGGGGGAGGGAAGGCCTTGGTTAGATCTTCTCACTTGTTCCAAAGGGTATTTCTCAAGCTCTGCTTTCATAATCTCAAGGCAGAAGGGAGCTCCTCTTCATCTCCCCTCTGATCACAGGAGCCAGGTATGACCTGGCTCAGCCCTGATGTGATGGGAGATGGGGAAAGAAATAGCAATACTACCACTACTAATCACTAATTTCAGAAGCATTTTCAGATGAACAAAGCACTTTCCTCACGGTAACCCTGTATGAGATAGGTAGTACGAAGATTATATTTTATAAATGGAAATATAGACTGTGAAGGCCTGGATTCGGTTTCTGGTCTATCTCTACCTCAGTGTAGTGTGTGTGTGTGTGTGTGTATGAGGGATCCTCTTCCCTTTTGTGGCCTCAGTTTCCCTTTTGAAAGGCACACCAACCAATGTTAGGTTGGCAGAGTGCTCTGAGATCCTCCCTGGTCCTGTAGTGGGTAATAACCATTCCATATGCCTGTAGGAGCTCCCCAGTAGGCCCCCTATCCCCAGTGCCCCCAAACTCCCGACCCCAGAAGCTGCTTCCAGTGACCTCGGAGTCCAGAACAGAAAGAAAAAAAAAATAATAACCTAATAACTGTGGCCCAGGGGATGCTGGGATTTGTAGTTTTTCTTCAGGGTTTCACAGTCGTCAGGGTCTTTTTCTCCCACTAAGGTCTCGGTGTAGAGCTTGTCCTTCTTGCTCTCCTCTCGAACACTCACTACTGTCCTCGGGTTGGCCTTCGCCTGAAGGTGTTAATCATCCCCTCCCCCAGTCAGTGTAAGGCAAGATTCCCCTGGGGCTGGAAAAGTTTATTTTGCGAGGGGAGGGGGCGCGCGGGGGGGGGGTAGGGCGCCCATCTTTCTCTGCAGATCCAAAGACTAGAACAGCAGGGATTGGGAAGAGAAGGCAATGGGAGCAGATACTGCAAGGGGAGTGAGAGGACAATCCCTTTCCAGTGCCTGTGGGGTCCTTCCCTTCCTGTGTTTTACGAAAAATGGGAGGTGGGGGAAAGAGAAGGAACGGAGCGGGCTCCCAGGGAGCGGCTGAAAGCATTAACGTAGGCTCCTATGGGTGAAGGTTGGAGTAGGCCCCTCCCTCCCGAGGTCCAAAGCCTGGACTGGAGGGGCTCCAGAAGTGCAACCAGGCCAATATTCACCCCCACCCCCCTACCCTTGAGCGCTTTCCCGCCCCACTCCACGCAGACCCACGCGCTGCCGGGGCAGCAGCAGCAAGAAGTAGTCGGCAAGCAGGCTGTGGGCCAGCTCAGGCTGTGCACACGCTTGCACACGCGTGCAAGGTGCAGCTAAAACGCCCCACGCGGGCGCGCCTTGTGCTCCTTGCTCAACTCCCGTGTACCTGCTTGCGAATGCGCAAATGTACAGGCCTGGGATAGACTGGGAAGGAGGAGGAGTGTGGATGGGAAGTGGGGAGAGAAAGAGAAGAGGAGGGAAAGGAACGATGGGGACAGAAAGGGGAGGGGAAGAATGGGAGAGAATGAAGGGGAGGAGGGAATATAAAGAGGGAGGTGAAGGGCAAAAGAATGAAGGGGGAGGGAGATGAATAAAGAGGGAGGAGAGAGATCGAAGGGGAGAATGGGGAAGGAGAGAGGTAAGTGAGGATGTGGGGGAGGGAGAAGGGAAGGATTTGAGGTAGATGAGAGAAGGATTGGGGGAGGGAAAAAATTTGGGAGGAGGAAGGGAAAAGAAAGTGAAAGGGAGGGGAAAAGGGAGGAGGAGGAGAAGAAGAGAAAGATAAAAAAGATAAGAGGAAGGAGAAAGGGGGCATAAGGTGAAGAAGAAAATGGGGAGAAAAGATGAGGGGGGAGATTGGAGCAAGAGTGAGGGGAATGAGGCAGTGAAGTGAGAGGTTGAAGGAAACAGGAAAGGAGAAAGATAGGTGGAAGAGAAAGGACAGAGGAGGCAAGAGAGAAGGGAAGGAGGAAGGAGGAGAAGGAAATGAAGGGGAAGGAAGGAAAAAGGGAGAGA